AACAAAATAGACAGACCACTAGCCAGATTAATAAAAAAGAAAAGAGAGAATAACCAAACAGATGCAATAAAAAACAATAAAGGGGAAATCACCACAGATCCCACAGAAATTCAAACCATCATCAGAGAATATTACAAACAACTCTATGCACACAAACTAGTAAACCTGGAAGAAATGGATAAATTCCTGGACACTTGCATCCTCCCAAGCCTAAACCAGGAAGAAGTTGAAACCCTGAATAGACCAATAACAAGGTCTGAAGTTGAGGCAGCAATTAAGAGCCTACCACACAAAAAAAAGCCCAGGTCCAGATGGGTTCACAGCTGAATTCTACCAGACACACAAAGAGGAGCTGGTACCATTCCTTCTAAAACTATTTCAAACAATCCAAAAAGAGGGAATCCTTCCCAAATCATTTTATGAGACCAACATCATCCTGATACCAAAACCTGGCAGAGACTCAACAAGAAAAGAAAACTTCAGACCAATATCCATGATGAACATAGATGCAAAAATCTTCAATAAAACACTGGCAAGCCGATTGCAACAGCACATCAAAAAGCTTATCCACCATGATCAAGTAGGATTCATCCCGGGGATGCAAGCCTGGTGCAACATACCCAAGTCTATAAATATAATTCACCACATAAACAGAACCAAAAACAAAAACCACATGATTGTCTCAATTGATGCAGAGAAGGCCTTTGACAAAATTCAACAGCCCTTTATGCTAAAAATCCTCAATAAACTCGGTATTGACGGAATGTATCTCAAAATAGTAAAAGCTATTTATGACAAACCAACAGCCAATATCATACTGAATGGGCAAAACTGGAAGCATTCCCTTTGAAATCCGGCACTAGACAAGGATGCCCTCTTTCACCACTCCTATTCGATATAGGACTGGAAGTCCTAGCCAGAGCAATCAGGCAAGAAAAAGAAATAAAGGGTACTCAAATAGAAAAGGAGGAAGCCAAGTTGTCTCTATTTGCAGATGACATGATTGTATACCTAGAAGACCCCATCGCCTCAGCCCAAAAACTCCTGAAACTGATAAGCAACTTCAGCAAAGTCTCAGGATACAAAATCAATGTGCAAAAATCACAAGCATTCCTATATACCAATAACAGACTTAAACAAAAAAATATAAAAAAATCAGCAAAACAGAAAGCTTGTTCTATGAAACAATTAACAAAATTGATAGATCATTAGCTAGATTAACCAAGAAGTGAGAAGATACAAATAAGCTCAATTAGAAATGAAACTAGAGGCACTACAACTGACACAACCGAATTTCAAGACCATTTGAGACTACCATGAAGATCCTTATGTGCATAAATGAGAACACCCAGAGGGAATGGACAAATTTATGGAAACATACAGTCCTCCTAGATTAAATAAGGAAGGAATAGAAACCTTAAACAGACTGAAAACAAGCAGTGAGATTGAATCAGTAATTTAAAAATTTGACAACCATAAAAAGCCCAGGACCAGATGGAGTCACAGCTTTCTTCCAGATATTCTATGACAAATTGGTATCAATACTACTGAAATTATTCCAAAAGATTGACAAAGAAGGAATCCTCCCTAAGTCATTATGCGAAACTACTATCACCCTGATGCCCAAACCAGGAAAGGACATAACTACAAAAAAAAGAAAACTGCAAACCCTGATGAACATAAATACAAAAATCCTCAACAAAGTATTAGCTAACTGGATCCAACAGTGCATCAGAAAATATTAACTCATCATGATCAAGTGGGTTTCATCCCTGGGATACAGGGACACTTTAACCTGTGTAAGTGAACAAATGTGATACATCACATCAACAGAATTAAAAACAAAAACTATATGATCATCTCAATAGATACGGAAAAAGCATTTGGCAAAATCCAGCACTGCTTTATGATAAAAACTTTTAACAAAGTAGGTGTAGAAGGGCCCTACCTCAAAATAATGAAAACCGTACATGACAAACCCACAACTGACATCACACTGAATGGGGAAAGTTGAAAGCATCTCCGCACCTGATGCTTCCAGGAACAAGGATGCCCACTTTCACCACTTCTGTTCAACATAGTTCGGGAAGTACCAGCCAGAGCAATCAGACAAGAGAAAAAAAGTGAATTCAAAGTGGAAAAGCAGAAGTCAAACTATCACTGTTTGCAGATGATATGATTGTGTATCTAGAAAGTCCTAAAGACTCTGCCAAAAGACTTGTTGATTTGATGAACATATTCAGTAAAGTCTCAGGTTACAAAATCAATGTACACAAATCAATAGCATTGCTATACACTAATTGTGACCAAGCTGAGAATCAAAGAATACAATCCCTTTTACAACAGCTGCAAAAAAATTAACACATTGGAATATCCTAACCAAGGAGGTGAAAGACCTCTACAAGAAGAATTACACTATGCTGCTGAAAGAAATCATAGACCACACAAACAAATGGAAATGTATCCCATGCTCATGGATTGGAAGAATGAGTATTGTGAAAATGACCATACTGCTCAAAGCAATCCACAGATTCAATGCAATTCTCATCAAAATAGCATCATCATTCTTTAGAGAATTAGAAAAACACAATCCTAAAATTCACATGGAACCAGAATAGTCAAAGCAATTCTAAGCAAAAAGAACAAATGTGGAAGCATCACATTAACTGACTTCAAATTACACCACAAGGCTATAATCACTAAAATAGCATGGTACTGGTAGAAAAGTAGGTAAGTATAAAAGTAGGATTCCTTCTTTGTCAATCTTTTGGAATAATTTCTTTTAAATATACCAATTTAAAAGAATAGAGAAACCAGAAATAAAGCCAAATATGTACAGAAAACTGATCCTCAACAAAGCACCCAAAAACATAAAATAGGGAATGGACACCATATTTAATAAATGGAGCTGGGAAAACTGGCAAGCCATATGTAGAAGAATGAAACTGGATCCCTATCTATCTCTCACCATACACAAAAATCAACTCAACGTGGAACAAAGACTTAAATAAAGGGTCTGAAACCATAAAAATTCCAGAAGACAATGTTGGAAAAACTCTTGCAGACATTGTCCTAGGCAAAGAATTCCTGATTAAGACCCCAAAAGCAAATGCAATAAAAACAAAAGTAAATAAATGGGACCTAATTAAACTATAAAATTGCTACACAGCAAATATGTTCCTTCCCAATTAATACTTTGCTTCTAGAATAACAACTATTCTGATCTCTAGTAGCACAAACTAGTTTGTGGCAGAATAGTCTGCCTTTAAACATCATAAAAATGGAATCATAACACGAACCCTTTTGTCAGTCTTATTTGGCTCAACCTAGTGTCTTTGGAAGTGATCCATGCTGTTGTATGTAGCAGTCATCTATTCTTTTCCACTGCTGTGTAGTATTCCATTGCCTAAATATACCACAGGTTTTGTGTTCCTTGTGTTGTTGATGGACATTCAAGCTGTTCTGATTTTTGGAAGAACTGTTATAAACAATCTTTTGCATGTATTTTGAGGGTCATATGCAAATTATTTATATTGCAAATATGTAAAGAAACCTGTCAAATAGGTGGATCACTGAGACATATGTTTAGCTCTAGTAGATAATTTCAAATATGAAGACTTCATAATTTTTGCATAGAAAATCTGTAAAAATCTAAAAAAAACTCGTAGAAAAATAAGTCATTTAATCTGAGGATAGAAAAACAGCATGCAAAATCAATCATATTTCTATATGCTAGCAATAAACATTTGCAATTTGAATTTTTTAAAAGTACTAGTTACAATAGAATCAAAGAAATGAAATGCCTCGGAATAAACTTAGCAAAGGATGTTTAGTTTATACACAAACATAAAACAACAATGAGAAAACCTAAAGAAGGTCTACATAAATGGAGAGATAAACTGTGTTCAGGAACTGGAATATTCCACATCATTAAGATCGCAGTCATTTCAGATTTGATCTACAGACGCAGTGCGATTCCAATCAAACACCTACCAGGCATTTTTTTTGTGGGTATTGATGAGCTAATTATAAAGTGTACATGAAAGAAAAAGGAACAAAGAAAGTGCTATTAATTATCTATTGCTACTTAACAAATTACCTCCAACACTTAGAGGTTGAGAAGAATAAAATATCTATTGCCTTAAAGTTTCTGTGTCAAGAGCCTGTGAGGAATGTAGCAGCTTTGTTCTGACTCAAGGTCTTTCTTCACTGGAGTGTCAGCACAGACTGGGGCCATCTCCAGTTCCAGTTGTGGGAGAATCCACTTCCAAACACTCATTGGCCATGGTCAGGCCTCAGAAAATCTACTTCCAAGGTCACTTATGCAGCATATAAGGACCGACCAATGACATTGAAGTTAACTTGTTTCGGAATAAGCAAAGACAAAGAGAGACAGAGTGAGTAAGAGAGAGAGAGAGAGAACCTCAAGATAGAAGCTATAGTCTTTTTAATGTCCCCAAACAGAACAGTACATAATTTCCTTTGTATTCTATTCATTTGATTTATTTCTGTCCCCTATAAAGATTGCATTTACTCCATACCCAAATTCTCCAAAATTTTATGTCATTATTACTTCAGCTCAAAGTTATAAGCTTATTATATATATTTTTGGTCCAGGTGTAGACGAGGCTTCTCAGGTGTAGGTTCTTAATTACAGCTTCTTGAGGACAGTTTTTCTCAATCTGTAGAACTGTGAAATTAAAGAAATAAGTTATCTGATCCCCACATCCAACATAACAGTGGTTGGACAGGCACAGAGTAACATCTGTAGGCGTTCCTGTCCGAAGAGTGCAGATGGTGGGGAGAATGGGAGGCACAGAGGGGCCACTGGACCATAGCAATTTTGAAATCCCGGTAAAAAAGTTGGACATTCCTTACGTCTCAAGGCTTCGAGACGTAGTTTTGAAAGAGTTCTCACATCAGAAGCCTCAGTCTTTACATAACCAACCTAATCTTGGGAGAGACACAGCATCACCTTTGCCATATTCTATTTATTACAGGAAAATAATTAACTCCAGCCCCGCTTTTAGGAGCGTGGATTAAACAACAGTGGGAGTGCCAGGAGGCAGGGATCCCTGGGGGCCGCACTGGAAGCTGTCAGTCTATCGCACGAGTCACCAATGGGAAGAAGAGGTTTGTAGATCTGTAAATTATATATTTGACAAAGGACTTACATCATATATATACTTGACAGTCTTTCTCCCTTGGTGGATGGGATTTCGGCATTCCCTGCTCTCTCTCTCTCTCTCTCTCTCTCTCTCTCTCTCTCTCTCTCTCTCTCTCTCTGTGTGTGTGTGTGTGTGTGTGTGTATATATATGCAATATATATTGAAATAAGAAAAGAAACAACCAAATAAATAAATGGACAAATAATCTTAACATACACTTAATCAAAAGAAGGAATATACATAGCAAATAAGCACATAACAGTACTCTTAAGATTGTTAGTGATTAGGAAATACAAATTGAAACCACAATAAGATACCATAACATGCTAACTAAAATGGCTGAAATATAAAAGTCTCATCCCAGAGAGCAACTGGAACTCGCATGGACTGCTGATGAGAATGTAAAGTGAACAGCTTCTTTGGGAAACAGTTTGGCAGTCTATTTTAAAAGCTATAAATCTGCCATGTGACCCAGCCAGTCCATTTCCGGATATTTACCCGAGAGAAATGAAAGCGTTACGTCCGTACAAGGACTTGTGCATGATGGTCACAGCAGCTGTAATTACCATAGCCCCAGCTGGAAACAACCAAAGTCCCAACAACCTGCATTCGTCTGCTAAGGCTGCCGTGATAACAAAGTGGGTGCAGGGACCCCACACGCTTACACAGCACTAATGTATCTTCTCACAGTTCTGAAGGCTGGAACTGTAAGGTCAAGGTGTCAGTAGAGCTGGTTTCTTCCGAGGCTTCTCTCCTTGGCTTGCAGATGGCTACCTTCAATTCGTGTGTTGTTTGTGTCCTAACTGCCTCTTCATATGAGAACACCAACCCATTCATATAACCTCATTTTACCCCCCTTTTTTTTTTTGAGACAGTTTCACTCGTTGCCCAGGCTGGAGTGTGGTGGTGCAATCTCGGCTCACTGCAACCTCCACCTCCTGGGTTCAAGCGATTCTCCTGCCTCAGCCTCCCCAGTAGCTGGGATTACAGGCATCCACCGCCACACCCAGGTAATTTTTTGTATTTTTTTAGTAGAAATGGGTTTTCAGCATGTTGGCCAGGCTGGTCTTGAACTCCTGACCTCAGGTGATCCACTCGCCTCAGCCTCTCAAACTGCTGGGATTTCAGGCGTGAGCCACCACGCCCAGCCTCATTTTACCTTAATTGCTTCTTTAAGGTCCTAACTCCAAACACAGTCCTCTCTGAGGTACTGGGGATTAAGACTTAAAAATAAAAATTTGGGGGAAGGACACTTCAGTCCGCAACACTCCACTCTGGCCATTCTGAAACTGATGTCCTTCTTACATTCAAAATACGTGAACCCCATCCAAACAGTCTCAAAAGCTGAACCAATTCTAACATGAACTCTAAGTCCAAAACTTCACGTAAGTATCATCTATGTAAGGTAGAGTTAAAAATCAAAGTATAATTTACTGTGAAGAAAAATTTCTCTCCTGCTGTAAAGCCAGACACATTATCTGCTTCCAAAATACCATGCGTGGATAAGCACAGGACAAACTTCCCCATTCCAAAAGAAAGAGTCAGAAAGAAGAAAGAAGTGACAGCTCTCAATCAAGTCTGAAGCCTAGCCAAAAAAAAAAAAAAAAACCTTTAGACTTTAAAACTCAAAAATAATCCCCTTTGACTCCGTTCCCTGACCTCTGGGCCCCCTGTGTCTGGCTATTTTGCTGGGATCATGTTTTAGAGAATCATCCTTATATTTGCATCAGTAGCTAACTTTTTTATTGCTGTGTACTACTCCATTGGATAGAGGTACTATACTTTTTTAATCCATTCTATCTGCTGATGGACATTTGATCACCAGCTTTTCTCAGCTATGAACATTGTGCATAAGATTTTTTTGTAACGTTTTTATTTCTCTTAAAAAAAATCTTATGAACATTGTGCATAAGATTTTTTTGTAATGTTTTTATTTCTCTTAAATAAATGCCTAGAGGTGAAATTGTTAGGTCATGCTGGGAGTGTATGTTTGGCTTGATAAGAACCTGGTAAATGTTTTTGCAAAGTGGCTGCCCAGCACACGCCTCCACCAGCGGCGTGTCAGTTACAACAGCTTCATGTACTGCTCCACAGTTGGGATTGTCGAGCTCTTTAAACGTTCGCCTAGTGGGTGTGTAATAGTAGGCATCACACTGCAGTGTTACTTGTGATGTTTCTGGTGTGGAATATCTTGTTATGTGTTAATCGGCCACCTCCACATCTTCTTGGGTACAGTGTCTATTCAATGTTTGAGCAATTTGCAGGGGAGATGTTTGTCTTCTTACAGTTTTGAGAGTTCTTTACATAGTCAGATATATATATTAAAAATACATTCTCCCTATCTGTGGTTTGCCTTTCCGTTTTATCTAGTGCTTTTTGAAGAGAAGTTTTTAATTTTGATGGGATCTAATTTGTTTTTCTCCCTTTCTTTTCGACGTTCATGTTGTTGGTTCTTGAAGCTTTTGCTTTCTGCAAGGCTCTGACGATTTGCTGCTTTTTTTTTTTTTTTTTTAGAAGCTCTGTAGCTCTGTATCTGTGATCCATTTCCAATTAACACGTATGTACAGTGTAAGGTCAGCACCGGGGATCACTTTATGTTTCCACATGGATATCTGGTTCTCCCAATACCATTTATTGAAGGCTGTCCCTGTTGAGTTTCCTTAGCCCCTTTGTCAAAATTCATCTGACCGGGCATGTATGAGTTTATTTCTGGACTTTATATTCTGTTTTGGCGTCTGGTTTGGAGCCATTAGGAATAAGGCCGCTAGGCATTATTGGACAGATCTTTGTGTGTGTGTCTGTGTGTGTGTGTGTGTGTGTGTGTACATATGCCTCCATTTTTCTTAGGCAGATATCTAAGAGTGGGAACTGGGGAGGGGTGTTCCATAGGATAGATATAGGTTTAACTTAAGAAACTGCTGAACTTCTCCCCAGTGCAGTCACATCATCACACCCCCACCCGCAGCCCGCGCTCGAGGAGCAGCTCTCTATCCCTGATGACACTGTGCTGTATTTTTCATTTTGGACTTTAGCTGTGGACAGAAATGTGAAATGACATCTCACTGTGGTTTCGATTTGCATTTCTCTGACCCGTGAGGATGCTGCCATCCTTTTAAGGTGCTTATTAATCACTTGCAAACACTCACTTGTAAATGAGGTATCAATGAAACGCATTTTTCCCAGTTTTTCATTGGACTGCGCATGTTTCTATTGTTGGTTTATGGGAATTCTTGTTACAGGCAACGCGTTCTTGACCGAGTGGGTCCTCTGTCAGATTCCCGTACTGTGCAGATTCACGCCTGTATTTTTTGCTGAGCAGGCACTTTTAACTTTTTGAGGTAGGTATTGTCATAATCCTCAAGACGTGCGAGAACTTGCTCCAGGTCACACCTCAAGGAAGGTGGTCCTGGGGGCTGAGTGTGCGCGTCCTGCGGAGTGGAGCCCACACTCCACGGCCGTCCCTCACACGGCCAGGCCAGGCTGCACAGGTCACCCTGTTGCAGGGAGCTAGGGTCTGTTTATCTGCAAAGTGAGCGCCCCACATCCGTCTTGGGAGTTTCTGAGGGTGGAATGTTGGAATTTGAATGCTGGGCACAAGGCTGGCTTTCAGTGAATGGCATCTTTTGAGATTGTTATGATCAGTGGCAAGATACTAAATAAATAAAAAACATAACTAAGTGTTCCAAATGTTATTTTCATGGCAGGGCTGGTGGTTTTCCTGCCTCAGCAAGACGGCAAGCAGGCGCTTTCAGCATTTCCTTAGCTGTACTGGGCACAGCTGGGGACACGGAGGTGAGCCTGCCAAGCGACAGGATAAATGGAGTCTCAGCAAAGAAACTTCAAAGTTAAAACAGCCAAAGGGGAAAAAATAAAAAACAAAACAAAAACACCACCACCCCACCCAAGGGCTGCTGGCTGGAACAAATCATCTGAGCCTCCGGCCCTGCGGGAAGCCTCCATCTGCAGATCCACAAGAGGCTTCCAAGCCGTGTCAATTCATTTCTATATTGCCATGATGTACACACTTCTCAGCTAAGCAGAAAGCACTGATGTCTGGGGCAGATTCCAGCTGAGGAGACCGGCCTGTGTCCAGGACAGCAAGTGTACTCTACTCCCATCCACGGCCTCCCCGGGGCCCAGACACCGGCCAGGCTTTGTCCAGCTCAGAGTACTGAGCCCCGAAGTTGGCCCCTTTCCAGGCCCGTGCTGATGAACAGCCCTGGACCTTGAAGGCCAGGCTTTCCTTCTCTGCTTCAGCTGCAAACAGGGGGCCTAAGGAAATGGAGAGAGACCCCTGATGGGGACAGCCCTCAGGGCAGGGGAGAAAAGCCGTGTGAGTTCTACCCTCCACCCAGCCCCTGATTGGCGCTCAGGCCCCTTGCCCACCCTGGGCAGCCCTCCCCTCCCTCGGGACTGTGCATCCTCTCCCAACACTCACCCAGGCCCCTGCACAGTGGGGTCCGGGGCCAGCACCCTCCCATGGACATCCTCCCTGCCTTCGTACTTTACGGTGGGTTCTCACAGGGGCCTGAGTTTTCATCCTCCCTACAGGGCCGTAAGCACAGCCTTTCATGAGACTTTGATGCACACATGCATGCATGTGCAGTCATACGCACAGGGGCGTGCTCACAGCCTGGAGGCCCAGGTGAGCTGCATAGTGCAAGAGTGTCACGTTTTATACAGATTGACGCACGTCACATTTACACTCATCTAATACCCGTCTACCTATGCACACACACACAAATGTCGATTTAATGTGTATGTAAACAGGTATGAATACGTAAGATAACACTTACCTCTCTGCATTCCACATTCCCATCCACACCGGCAGTTGAGGCTCCAGCCCCCTCTGCCCAGTGGGTGCAGGACCCCACAGAAGGGACACTCTGCCCAGTAGATGCGGGACCCCATGGTCGGGACGCCCCGCCTGGTAGATGCGGGACCCCGTGATAGGGATGCTCCGCCTGGTGGGTGCGGGACCTCACGGTAGGGACGCTCCGCCTGGTGGGTGCGGGACCTCACGGTAGGGACGCTCTGCCTGGTAGATGCGGGACCCCGTGATAGGGACGCTCCGCCTGGTGGGTGCGGGACCCCGTGATAGGGACGCTCTGCCTGGTGGGTGCGGGACCTCACGGTCGGGACACTCTGTCCAGCAGATGCAGGACCCCATGGTCGGGATGCTCTGCCTGGTGGGTGCGGGACCCCGTGATAGGGATGCTCCGCCTGGTGGGTGCGGGACCCCATGGTCGGGACACACCGTAATTTCCTCTTTCATGAACGAGCATTCATTTTGTTCCCATGTTTTTTGTTGTGGAAAACGTGCTGCAAACCCCACTTCCCTGTGTATCTTCAGTTTCATCACCGTTACCATATTGGTCTCAAGAAGCTGCTGGCGGAACACACAGGCCGGGGGAGAATGTCTGTCAGGTCTCTGGTCTGTAGCGGTGTGTAAGGCGGCTCTTCCCTCGTTGTATTTCTGTCCGGACGCTGTGCCTGTGCTCGTAGTGGGGTTCTGGAGTCTCCTACCTGGTTGAATCGCTATTCCTCCCCTAGATCCGTCAATGCTTGCTTCACACAGTCCTGTACCACGTGATGCCATTTTGGGCAGACATGGCATCAGCAACACCGGCCTCATAAGATTATGGCATCGCATGTCCAGCACGCCTCTGTGCTGCTGACGGAAGAAGAGAAGTCAAGCGTGAAGGCATTTGAACCAGTTTACTCAGAAGTCTTTCTGAGGACTCTAGATTGAGGCCTCCAGCCTGGGAGCGGCCCCTTCGAGAGGTCCTGTCAGCCCCGCACAGGTGCCAGCCCACTGTGGACATGCAGGTGGCCGGGTTCAGGACACACACAGTCGTGATGACCTTGCTCGGAAGTTACCCGAGAGCAGAATCCCATCGAGGTTCATGCACAGGAGGACATCAGGTTGCAGATGACACAGGCACGATCACTAAGTCGCAGGTGGCGTTACCTTATGTGTAGGAAAGACCAGGAAGCCAGTGACTGGGGTGGCAGATGTGGGGGTGACGTGTGCTGTCCTGTGCTGCCTTCGAAGCATCTCTGGAGCCTGCGTACAGGGGCTTTGTGAAATGACGCTGGCAAGCAGACAGGAGCCAACAGGGCTCCTCAGGTTTGCTGCTTTGTCTCCGGCTGTCTGCAGGATTCAGCCATCACGAGCTGTGCAGGTGTGCGGCTTGGGAGCAGCGGGCACCGCCAGCCAGCCTGGGTGTGTGGCAGGCTGAACCGTCTAGGTTCACGTCCGTGCACTCCATGATGCTGGAACAAGGACATTCACCTAACAATGCGTTTCTCAGGACGGACCACCATCAGTAAGAGACACGTGACTCCAGGTGGGTGCTCTGACGTTGGGTGTATATAGATGGGGCACACCCCACATTCATACTCACCTCTGCACATGCACAAACAATGGCTACTTTACATGTATGTAAATGATGTCAGAAACGCATCCCTGTCTGCGCCCTTCCTTCCATCGACACACGGCCATGTCTTCTTCTTCCCTTCTTCTCCGCCAGCCACAGTGGTGTTCCATCACCCTGAAAACGTCTACCCCACAGTGATAACATGACACCGCTGCCTTAGTTGACATTTTGCTGCCTCTTGCGATTCTGAGCACCTTACATAACTTCTAGACACCTGGACTGGGTCTCCTGTGAGCCGAGATTTTGCTGTCCTGCGCCCATCTTTCCCTAACTTGTTACTTTGTTCATGCCACTTGGCGAAAGTTCTCTGCATCTGGTAAACGTGAGCACTTCCGCCCTCTCCCCGTGGCCGGTGCTCTCACTGTCCAAAGCTGTCACTTGTCTCCCGTTTAGTTTACCATCTCCAGGGAAAGAGAAGGAAGCTCCTGACACTAGAACGAGGCCTTGTACCTGTTTGTCTGTGGAATTCCGAGTGACCTAGACAAGTCACTCTGTCCAATGAGAAGACAGGTATTTCCACAAGGTATAGGCACTTAGGACAGAGAGGGGAAGGCCACGTACAGGGACACAGGGCTCCTGAGACCCACAGCCTTGCTAATAACCGTGAATACTCATGCGCATGGTGCCACTGGAGCATTTCCCATGGGAGCTCACTAACCCCCGACTCCCACCCCTATGAGGAAGCCCCACAGGGTGTCATTGTGACCCCAGTTTACGAGCTCAGGCACAGGGAAATTCCAGACCACCCAGGGGCAGCCGGGCTTAGGTGGAGCCCAGGGCCCCTGGTAACCAGTCTCTCTCACCCTTCCTCTCTCACATCTTTCCTGATTAGATGGCATATCCCAGATGTGTTCAGGCTCCTGCCTTTGGGTAGCATGGCACTGCCCCCATCAGGCCGTGTTTGCTCACCCTCCGATTCCGAGGTGCTACTGTCCAGAAATTTGTGTCTCCCCCAAAATTCATGTTGAATCCTCAGCCCCCACCCCCAGGTGATGGTGTCAGGAGGTGGGACTTTTGGAGGGCGATTAGGTTGTGGGGGTGGAGCCCTCACAAGTGTCATCAGGGTCCCTGTAGGAGATCTGAGACCCCATGCCTCTTCCAGAGCAAGGCGCCATCTATGAGTCACACGGGCTCAGCACCCTCAGGGTGGCTTTCCTCTCCAGAGGAGCCGAGGGTTTGGTCATTTCAAAGTCCCTCTGTTGTTGCTTATTTACACATAACAAACACCTGCTGAGCACCTTGACAAAAGGACCAGCATCAGAGGTCGCTGACGCTAGGGCACTCACACCCCCTCAAAAACCACGCAGGAACCATTCAAACCCATTCAATACATATTTGAGAGTAGTATTTGGGGACCAGTTGGAGGCAACATTATTCACACAAAACCTGTGCCGTGTGGCCAAGACTATGGGACCCAGCCGTGCTGGGAGCCCGGGTGCGGCTCCAGGGCTGGCAGTGGGGACAGCACGCGGTGGCGGAAGGTGGGACAGACACCTTCCTCAAGCCTTTCCCTCCCAACTCAGTCCCCTCCACCCCCGGAAGGCGTGTTACTGGAATGTAGTATGGAAACTGCTGGAACCACGGTGGAGAAAGAAACTGCTGTGGAGCAAGATTTCCGGAGCCCAAGAGGCCAGTGGGCAGGAGAAACAGGAAGTGGTGGAGTCCAGGGACCTGTGAGCCTGAGGCCAGCTGTCCTCCTGTGAGCCGTTCGACAAATTCCTCTCTCGGATGGATTTTAACGCACGGCGCTTCCTCCTCCTCTCATGGAAGGGTCTTCATGAAGACCCCAGAAGGCTCCCTCGCCCTCCGCTGAATCTGCCGCGTTCCGGCACTGAGCCTGCGGTCCCCCTGCAGCTTTCTAAATGCGGCAGGGATCGGTATAGAGGTCTCTGATTAAGGCCATCAGGTATAGAAACTGAGAAAAGACGTGTGTGTCAGTGTAGGTGAAAACGTATCACTGACAATGGCTGACATTTTGCCACGGGAGTGGGCATGGCTGGGCCAGTCGGCTGCTCTTCCCACCACCTGGGCAATCACCCTTCCTCACAGCCTCACGATGACAGCTGAGTCACGGGGAGATGAGGAAGCAAAACAGGTGGCAATACTCATGGCGTCATGGCACTGAGGAAGCTGCGAGGACTCTGTGAAGGCAGAGGGAGGCTTCCTGGAGCCCACACAGGTCTAAATGTGTGCAGAAGACACTGACATGCACACACACGTGCAGACTGCTATTCACAAAGCAGCTTGGACCAGGCGAGCCCACTGAGGGGCTTTGGGGCTGGAGGCCTTGGTCTAGAAGGGTGTGCCAATCTCCACTCCGCCTGAGCTCCTGTGCGGCAGCTGTCTTCTTCACCTGGGAGTGTTCCTTCCCGCTGAAGACCAGAGGCCGATGGCCCCGTTCACCGATAAGGAAACAGAGGCCCAAAGAAACAGTTTTGGTTTTGTTTAAAGACAGGGTCTCTTTGGCCCAGGCTGGCATGCAGTGGTGCAATTATAGCTAGGCAATCTTTAACTCCTGGGCTGAAACGAGCCTCCTGCCTCAGCCTCCCACAGAGCTAGACTATAGGCATGTGCCACCATGCTCAGCTAACTTTTTTTCATTTTTTCATTTATTTTGTATAGACGGGGGTCTTGTTCTGTTGCCCAGGCTGGTCTCAAACTGCTGGCCTCAAGTGATCCTCCCGCCTCACCCTCTCAAACAGGTGGGACTACAGGAGTGAGCCACTGTGCCCAGCTCCCCAAAGGAACTGATTCAGCCGGACCCTACAGAATGCAACAGCTCACCGGCAGGGGTGTTTGCTACTGGCCAGTCTGAGCTGTACCCACAGCCCTGAGCACTGTATTGCAAGCCCTGCGGGACTGCAATAAACCCCAACTGAGAGGACTGCAGGGAACCAGCTGATCACCACAGAATTCACCCAGATACCTAACTGTGCCCCAGAGTCCTTGATGCCTGCTTTGAGGAATCCACTTAGGAACCTAGAAAGGACTCTCATGAATGAACGGCAAGAACACAGTGAGGAGGACCCCGCCCTCTCCAAGTGCAGACGGCTGCTGGAAACCCCGCTACTCGCCTGCAGATAAGCCACGAGCACCTCGGAAACAAAGCAGCAGCCTCAGCGTGCAGCCCAGCATAGAGCCTGAGACAGATGGTCTTCCATCACCACGGCGCGCCTCTCTCCTGCCTCCCACGGGCCCTGGGCTCAGACTGCCCTCACTGCAGCGCGGGACCATGGAGGACTGCTGGCTTGTCCTTGTCCCAGGCAGGCCCCAGCTGCTGAGCCCCAGCAAAGGACAGGAGCTCCATCGGGGTGACCGGCTGAAAATCCACTCACCACTCATAAGAGAATGAGCGGAGCTGACATTCTGTTATGCTTAAAACCTCACCTGGCCTCTAGTAAAAACGTCTCCTCTGTAAACATGCCAAAGAGGTGACACGCACCTTTCACCGGGTTCTCAGCGGTGGGGGCAGCAGGTCCCTCATCTACTGAGGAGCTCTGACTCTGAAAATGGAAACAGGTGAAGTCCTGGGCCTGGGCATCCCCTGGCCTGAGAAACTCTTCCCTTGGAGATGGGTATGACATAGGGACTTCGCTGTTTCATAGCCCTTATCAATTACTGAGCTGGGCCCACAGGAAACAAACCCCCTTGCCACGTGGGCCCCACATCCTCCAATGAAATGGACCACCGTGCATTTCTCATAGAAGGCGCCTCCTGCAAAGTCACCACCTGTCGTCCTAGCTCTTCTGCCTTGGGTTTGTGGGGAGCTGCCCTGACGTGGAGGCCGGAGGACAGCACGAGGCCCGCTTCACTGACAGACACACACAGTGCGAACCTGCCCAGGGAGCAGAGGAGCGGCCCCGGGGCAAGGTCCCCAGGTGCTGCCAGCAGGCCAGCTGTGCGCGGCCTCCTGCTCCGGCACATACAGCAGCTTAACACACGCTGCTTGCTTCCAGACAAGCGTGGTTCTCAGCATGCTGACACAGGCACACACAAACACACACAGATTTTAGGGACTGCAACATTCACCCCAAACTCCAGGAATGAGATCACTCTGCATGTGATGTTGCTTTCTTTTAATTGAAGTGAGGGCAAAACCTGGTCACGTCAGAGACGAACAGCCTCGTCCAGGGGGCTGAGTACATTACTGTCGTTCTTGGTTAACCAGGTCCTCATTTCAAGGGACTTCCACATTCTTTGAAACCTGCGCAGGCTCACGCCGAGGCTCTGCATCAAGGGCCTGGCCTGCAGCAGACGGCGTCTCACTGGATGTCGTCATCATCAAACAGATCTTCAAAATCTGGGAAAGAAGCAGAGCCAGGTACTTACACACACGAGGGCAAGCAGTGAAGAGGTCACCTCAAAGTGCAGAGTCCACAGTCACTGATCTATGAAATAAAAGACTTTTCCCAGAACAGACTTTCGGTTTCATCCAACAGGAAATGGATGGAGTCTGGGGGTAGAGTGTGAGTGGGACAATCCTAAGAAAACGCATGCAGGGCTGTCCTAGGTCCCACGGACATCACCTCACAGCCTCAGCTCAGCACTCAGGACACGCCAATGCCACGTCTGCACCCACAAGTGCAGTGGCCAAGGTGCCGCCCTCTCTGCCGGGCTGGGGAGAGACCAAGCTGGGAGGCACGTGCTAGGGCCCTGGGAGTGGAGGGAAACCGGCCACCGCTGCTGTGAGAATGAGAAAGCCGGGCTGGGGTGCAGAAAGGTGGAGCCTCCAGTAAGGCAGTGGGAACGACACTGAAGCCTGAGAAACACCGCGAAGGCCCATTTGCGCTGGAAGAAACACAGCAAACACGTGGTACACTGCCCTGGGTGATCAAAATCAGTGCTCCCCACCCCCAGGAAAGATTCTGTCCTTCTGTCTAGTTTTCTGTGTTTTCCAAATTTCCTCCTACAGGCAATAAGACTTTCACAATGGGAGAAGAGGATAAAGCTAAAATCCTACCCATATGTACTGTACTGAAAACGTGCAGAAGGGATTATGAACTAGAAAGAGGAAGTTCAACTCCTGGACGGTCAGGCAGAGCAAAGAGGCAGGAGCCCGCTGGTAGCAGCCTTCCTGGGAGGGTGGTGTCCTTGCGGCATCTCTGGCCACCGCAGAGGGTCCGGCTCTCCCCAGCCACACTGACGTGCCCCACGTCCTCACTGCCTCCTGACTGCTGTCTGTGGCTCTGCCGCAGGCCCCAGCCCCAGCTGACTTCACCCCTCCCAATCTCTGCTCTGCTGTCGCCTCCGGAGAAACCTCCCTCTGCTGTGCTCCCGGAAACAAGGCTGTTCACACATCGCCAGGGCTCTCATCACGGTCTCGACCCTGCACGCTGGCTCGTCTGGACCCACCACGATTTTGTAAAACACAGCAAAGGAAGAGAGTGAATCTCGTTCATGGCTAGAACCCCGGTGCCCAGAGGACAACAGCCCAGCAAAACCATCTGTCTGACAAGCAAAAAGGATATGGCAGAAGCCCTAAGCCACAGAGGTCTCTCAAAAAAATGGCTCCTTCAACACATGGGGCTGTCACAAGCCGACAGGACAGTGAGTGCTTTGTGAACTTAGCAGGTGGGCGGCAGGGGACAACAGCTCTCCTGCGTTCCCATTCTGGCCAGCTGTGGCAGAGGAGACGCCTGCGTGCTCACACTGCTCAGGTTGCCGGGCACTCACCCGACAGGTCGGGCCTGGGTCCCTCTCACAGATGCTTTCCCGCCAGGATCCAGGGGCTGACTCTGAAGTCCTGTGACCTCAAACACTAGAACACAGTGATCGCCTCTAAACCAGCGGACTGCAGGGGATGAATGGCGCTTTGAAGATCATCAAAATGCACGCAGGTTGTGCCAGCATCAGCAACTGCCCAATCCTGCCCAAGTGAAGAAGCTTCAAAGGCACCTGGTGAGCTCGTGTTTTCACAAAGCAGCTCTGGACAGCACCCCGTGGCTGTGCACAACTGCCACACCCTTCTCCCCCCTCGCTCTGGCATAAAGAATGGAAAGAAATGCTATTCAGGTCTCCAGGCTCACCTCCAATGTCACCTGCCCCAGTTATGACTCCGGCTGGCAGCAGCCAGAATGCTGCCTCAGGGGCATGGCCGGGCACCCTAGGGAAGCCTGCACCCCAACTCAGCAGCCTGGCCGCTCCCCTCAGACAACGGCTGCGGACAACAAGCTTGATGAGGCAGCAGGGGTACGGGATGGTGGGGCCTCTGGTAAGACAAGAAACCAGCGTGGCAAGGTCAAGCCTAACTGGTAACTAGTAACAGGAGCTTTCTGTAGAGGCAAGGATGGAAAACAGGATGGAAAATGCCACCTCACCCTCTGGAGTAAGAAACCTATCTTGTTTACTTACTATTTGAACCCTTAGTAAAGGTTAATATAATCCATAGGAACAAGGCCTTAGGAAATCAGAAGAGAATGAGAGACATGTTCCCTCTAGCAGGTCTGAAGATCTTACAGAAAGTTTGCTTCTCACTGTTTATTTGGTTCATGCATGTTCTTGGTGACTAGCACTGAGGCCCTGAAATCACAAGGGAAATGCATCGTGGGTCCTGATTTCAGACACACTGGGGAAGGGCAAGAGCTGGAGGGTGGCTGCCCCTCTGCAAAGGCAGCTGAGGGCGCCAGAACCCAGGCAGGCGGGCACAGGCGGCCTAGGACAGGAAAGGAAACCGCTACCCAGAGAGGGCAGACAGGGAGACAGACTGGGTTCCTATGGCCGTGTCTGGGGCAAGGGGCCAGACCTGGCTACAGTCTGAGGTGTCTGCAGGCACGTGTTACCACGCTCAAACTCAATTACTGGGCTGCAGGCTGGGAACAATCTCATGCTACTTTTCTCCTGAAAAACAGGGCTGCCTGCCAGTGTGCCCAGCCCACCTCCTTCTGCACTGCCTTCTGAGAGTGGCACGGGGCCTTTACTGTCTTATGATCCAAATTATTCATGTCACCAAGTTGCTTCACTGCCTCCACCTGAAGAAGAAACATTTAGATTAAACCTGGCGTCCCCATCCCAGGCATCCTTACCATTAAAAAAGTCTGCGTGAACGGCCTTTTCATTGGCTGCCAAGTCCATCAGGAGCCCGGTGCTGCCTCCCGCCTGGGGAATGGAAAGGCAAAGTTAGGTCAGTTGTGTTCTCTGAAGAAACAAGTGGCCGGTGCATTGCAGTGCCCGCCACCCTGCAGAAAAGGAAGAAGGGTGAGGGGAAACAGGCTCCACTTGGAGTCAACATTTTCATTCCAGCAAAGGAATGCGTACGAGGGGAGGGGCAACAGGAGGGAGGAATTCAAAGGAATTATTTTTATGGTCTTTCAAGGGCTTCTTTTCCTTGACTCCTCCTTGCCTTTAAAAAAGAAACCTAGGCCAGGCACAGTGGCTCACGCCTGTAATCCCAGCACTTTGGGAGGCCAAGGCGGGTGGATCACGAGGTCAAGAGATCGAGACCATCCTGGTCAACATGGTGAAACCCCGTCTCTACTAAAGATACAAAAAATTAGCTGGGCATGGTGGCACGTGCCTGTAATCCCAGCTACTCAGGAGGCTGAGGCAGGAGAATTGCCTGAACCCAGGAGGCGGAGGTTGCGGTGAGCCGAGATCGCGCCATTGCACTACAGCCTGGGTAACAAGAGCGAAACTCCGTCTCAAAAAAAAAAAACCTACCATTGCCCTAAGCACCAGGGCTTCTCTGTAACCACAGGAGAAGTTTCTGATCCCTGCTGGACATCACCACAGAGGTCACAAACGTGCGAAACTGAGCCCATAGCCTCGGCTCAGGAACCCTTCCCGCTCTCATCTAGAAATGACTTCTGCAAGGAAACTGACCTGCTCTGCCTCTGAGGTCCCAGTGCCGGCTGCCATCATGGACCGTCCACTGCCACAACTCCACAGCAGTGAAAAAACCATGTCACAACCCAAACTGGACAGTCTGAAGCCCTCAGCATTCACCCGGCGACAGAGCAGAGTCCTCTGACGGCAGCACCCTGGACAGCTGGCCCCAGGTCCTGCTGCTGCCTTGACCCAGCATTCACAAGGCCGTTTGGTCCACCCTGCCCTGGTCCCCATGTGGCTGAATGCTCCTGTTCCCTTTCACTGCTGCTCCCAGTAAAGCCAGGAGGCTCAGCTTCCTCCCCTGGCATCTCAGCCTCCCTCCCCGCCCCCATCACCCCAGGTAGCCACGCGCTTTCTACCGCTTTCTACCACTTAAACACTGGGCTGAGCTTGTCCCTGCCACCATCTTTCTCACTCACACCTCTTCAACTCTCCTGTTCTCCCTGCTACCTCTCACCGCTACAGAGCAAGTGGGAGCCTCTCCCTCCGCACTGTAAAGCCCTCTGGTGGCTCCACATGGCCTAGGGCTGTGACTTTAAAACCGGACTGCGGCTTGGGTTTAGTGGAAGTGCTTGGGGAGCTGGGTGCACAGAGCCACCCTCTTCAGCGTAGTTCCAGAGGGTCTCATGATCTGGACCCTGCCCACTGCCTCCCCTCTCTCTGGTACCGCGGGATCAGCCATGTTAAAGAACACGATATCCCCTTCCCTTGGTGAGCCAGTGGGCGTCCCCTGGCACAGGACTCTGCTCCTGCCGGCCTTCATCCCCGCCAGCCTGGCAAACACCAATGTGTCCCACCATTTGGCCAGAGTCCGCTCCTCAGCTGCACCTTTGCTGAGCCCCCTCAAAGGCCTGAGGGCAATGCGCCCCCGGCTTGGATGACACCTGGTATTTGCCATCAGCCTCTCTGCCATGCTGCTCTCTCCATAGGCACAAGGGCTGCCTCTGACCATCTCTGAACCCCCGAAGTTTTGAGAAAGAGCACACAAGGCCCCGACACGAGCTAGGCTGTGGCGCTCTCCTGCTGACCACAAACCATCTCACAGAACGCTCACATCGGACAAGGTCACGCGGTGATCACGACAGACCACTGCATAATCCTGTATATTAAAAAAGAACGAGGCCACCGCGCAAAGCACATAAACGCCAGACGTGCCCTTTTCCGCTCCGACAGGAACGACGGCTAAAAGCGGCTTCTTGACCAAGTACGGTGGCCGAGCCCTGCTCCGTCTTCCGTCACTCCGGTTCAGACAGGAGGCCTAATCGGAGAATTACCGTCGCTTCCAGGCGGCACCCAAGGCACAGCAGTGCCCGCTTTCTCCCCCAAATCCCCTAACAGGAGCTCAAATCCCACACGAGGGGAGCCCCGCGCGCTACGGAGACGCCCCGCGGGCCCCCGTGGGATGCTGTCGCCATCGAGGAGCAGCAAACCCAACTCCTCGGACCACAGGCGTGTTGCCCGGGGCCGTGGGGCACCCAGCGGGCACTCGACCCTCCGGCTGCGCGTCCTGGCCCCGGGCTGGGCACACGCTTCCCGCCCGGGTCAGTCGCCGCCCGTCACCAGGTGCTCGGAGAAGCCGGGACTCGCTCTCCGCGGGGCCGGGAACCTGGGAGCCCCGCCCATCGCCGGCCCGCCCGGCCTCCCTTTCCGAGGACCCGCGCAACAGGACGCCGCCCTTCCGCTCCCCCTTCCCCGCTCCCCACGCTCGGAGAGTCCCGCCCAGCCCGTGACACCTCGTCCAGGTCCACGTAGGGCCCGGCGCCCTCGGGGAACATCTCGTCCACCGCCGGCTTCATCTCGGGCCCGCGGCGCTCTAGGCCCACTTCCGGCCGCGGGGCCGCTTCCGGCGCGCGCCACACGGCAGGTCTAGACGCCGGAGGACCGCGCCTCTGTGGTGCCCCCCCCACCCCCACCCTGCGCGCAGCGCTATCCGCGTTCTCTTGTCCCAGGTGCTCGGGGCCTGCTCGGAGCCACGAGCGCGTCCGCGGCCACCGGCGTCTGTCTTTGCCCCGGCGAGGGCGGCGTCTGCCACATCTCTGACGGGCGGCCGGGCGGCCACGGAGAGAAAAGGCCGCCAGCAGCGGGAGCAGGGCCCGCGGAGCAGGCTCCGCCGCAGAGACGGCCGGGGTCACGGGGGTCACAGGGGTCACGGGGGCCACAGAGGCCACGGGGTCACGGAGGTCACAGAGGCCACGGGGGCCACAGGGTCACAGGGGTCACAGAGGCCACGGGGGCCACAGGGGTCACAGGGGCCACAGGGTCACGGGGGCCACGGGGTCACAGAGGCCACGGGGGTCACAGGGGTCACAGAGGCCACAGGGGTCACAGAGGTCACGGGGGTCACAGAGGTCACGGGGGTCACAGAGGTCACGGGGGCCACAGGGGTCACAGGCCACGGGGGCCACAGGGGTCACAGGCCACGGGGGCCACAGGGGTCACAGAGGCCACGGGGCCCAGGGCCGCGCCCTCGGACGTGCGTCTGGAGAAGACAGCACCCGGCCAGTGAGCAGAGGAGCAGGCGCGAGGCAAAGCGGGCCCCTGAGGGCTGAGAGCAGAGGCTCCGGGGGCGTCTGGACCCCACGCTCGCGGCAGCGCTATTTCCAAGCAATGGCCACGGGGCGAGCGCGCGAGCGGACGTGGTCCCCGCACCCCGGGGCTGTGGCTCCGCCTGGGGAAGGAAGGGGGCGCCGGCACCGGCCGCGGCGCGCGGGAACGGGGAGGCCGCTGTGCCCGGGAAACGGGCCGGTCCTGAGCCGGAGGCTGCGCGATTCCCCCTCGGGGCCCCTCGGGGTCGGGGCCTCAGAGGCTGAGACTGAGAAGCGCGGTCGGGGTCCGGGGCGGGGGCTGCGGCGTTGGCGGTTACTGGGGACGGAGTTGCGGCCTTGAGAGGGCGGTGGTGATGGCGCACAGCCCCGCGAGTGTCCCTCACGCCACTTCTGCAGCGTTAAGACGGAAACAATCCCTGAAGTTTTACCATAAAGACAGACTGAAGGACAGAAATGGGAGGAAAAGCAGAAGGGAGGGAGAGGAGGGAGAAGGTGGGAGGGAGGGAGGGGAGGGGAGGGGGGAGAGAGGAGGGAGAAGGCTGGAGGGAGGGGGGAGAGGAGGGGGACGGTGGGGGGGGAGGGAGGGGAGGGAGGAGGGAGAAGGCTGGAGGGAGGGAGGGGAGGGAGAAGGGAGAAGGCTGCAGGGAGGGAGAGAGGAGGGAGAAGGCTGGAGGGAGGGAGGGGAGAGGAGGGAGAAGGCTGGAGGGAGGGAGGAGGGAGAAGGGAGAAGGCTGGAGGGAGGGAGAGAGGAGGGAGAAGGCTGGAGGGAGGGAGGGGAGAGGAGGGAGAAGGCTGGAGGGAGGGAGGAGGGAGAAGGGAGAAGGCTGGAGGGAGGGAGAGAGGAGGGAGAAGGCTGGAGGGAGGGAGGGGAGGGAGAAGGGAGAAGGCTGCAGGGAGGGGGGAGAGGAGGGAGAAGGCTGCAGGGAGGGAGGGAGGGAGAAAGGAGGGAGAGGGCTGGAGGGAGGGAGGGAGACTGGAGGGAGGGAGAGAGGAGGGAGAGGGCTGGAGGGAGGGGGAGAGAGGAGGGAGAAGGCTGGAGGGAGGGAGAGAGGAGGGAGAAGGCTGGAGGGAGAGAGGAGGGAGAAGGCTGGAGGGAGGGAGGGGAGAGGAGGGAGAAGGCTGGAGGGAGGGAGGGGGGAGAGGAGGGAGAAGGCTGGAGGGAGGGAGGGGAGAGGAGGGAGAAGGCTGGAGGGAGGGAGGGGGAGAGGAGGGAGAAGGCTGGAGGGAGGGAGGGAGGGGAGAGGAGGGAGAAGGCTGGAGGGAGGGAGGAGGGGAGAGGAGGGAGAAGGCTGGAGGGAGGGAGGGAGGGGAGAGGAGGGAGAAGACTGGAGGGAGAGGAGGGGGAAGGCTGGAGGGAGGGAGGGAGAGAGGAGGGAGAGGGCTGGAGGGAGAGGAGGGGGAAGGCTGGAGGGAGGGAGGGAGAGAGGAGGGACAGGGCTGGAGGGAGGGAGGGGGAGAGGAAGAACCGCGGCGGGAAGGAGACAGTAACAGCGACTCTGTCCAGCTGAAGGCTCTGCTCAGCGGGACGCCGGAGGCCTTGGGAACCTCCTCGGTTTGGTTTTCGCAGAGAGCCCTGCTAAGTGTTCAGTTAGAGCCCCCACCCTGGATATGGGATCCGGCTTCTGATCCCCCAGCACCCCAGGGGGATACCTGATCACCCAGGCCTGTCTTCAGCGGCGGTCCAGGCCAGCATCTCCCCCCCCCTCGCATTGGGTTCCTCCCCGTTGTCTTCCACCCCGGACCCCGCCTGCTCCTCAGCCTCGAATCCCCTCTGCCTGTGCGGTTCTGAGCTGAGCCCGTCCCCTCCCCTACTGCAAGACCCGTTGCAGTGCTCCCCACGCCCATCTCCAGGGTTCGGAATAGCATCTGAAAATGTCCAATAATGTTTTCTTTGACAGGTCTGAAAGGAGGTGGGGCTGGGGCTTGGTTGTAGAGAACGGGAGGGGGGGTCCAGCGTAGTTCCCGGGACAGGATGGTTGAGCTGAGATGTGCGAGGGAGGGTGGCCTGGGAAGGGGCCGCCCGGCCTGAGCGGACAGTTTGGGATGCAGGGAGAAGCAGGAGTGGACATCGGGTGAGGCTCGTGCCGTGCCAGTGTGCGCCGCCCTGAGGGACCCAAGTGGAAGCCAGTCGGATGGAACCAGGACTGGGCAGTGGTCAACAGGAGGGCCCACTAAGTCAAGGTGTTTACTAGGGGTGGGGCCGTGGGTCTCCGGGGTCTGCTTGTACACCCTGCAGGGATGGGGGGCTCACCACCTGTTTGGAGGCCATCCCATTGCTGGTGGCCCATCCCTGAGACGCCATCCGCGCTGCCTGCCTAGCCTTCCAGTGCCCCAGAGTGCCCAGGTGAAGCTCCTTCCTCCCAGCACCCTCAAAGCCTTGAGCTTCCCTGGAAGACAGAGCCTGTCCAGGCCCTGCTGTCCCTGACGGTGACAGATACAGATGGAGTCTCACTTCTTTGTTTCCTGCTGCCTCCTGGGCACTCCTCCCAGGGTGTGTTGTGGTGTGAAGCACGGCCCCCCAGCACAGCCACGGCTGTGGGTTCACCTGCTGCCCAGCTTAGTGGCCTGGAGCAACGGTGCCTGGACTGGAATCTGGCTCCCCTCTCACCAGCTGTGTGACCTTAACAAGTCAGGCAGTGGCTGGAGGTCTCTGCCTCAGTTTCCTCACCTGTAATCTGGGGGAACTACAGCTCCCTGCAGGGTCACTGTGGGAAACGGATGAGAGACCCAGAAAGCCGGTCCTGAGCCTGCTCAGGACCTTGTTGACGCCGGTGTGGATGGTAATAGTTATGAAAGTGCTCCCTAGGAACCAGGGTAAAACCAGCTTCGGTGATGAAGTAAACGGGGCTGGAGCGCAGCCATCCCGGAAGGAAAACCCACATGCTGGCTGTGCCTCTTCAGTCCGGAGTTTATTGAGAACAGGACTGACCCTCCCCCCGCTGGAGCCAGACCTTTGCTGCGACTCCACTCCTGCGGAGGCCCGACCTACGCAGCCTGGCGGGGTGGGCGGGGACCAGGCTGGACACCATTCAGTCCTCCTGATAGGGAACGTGGAAGCCCAGGGTGCTCCCCAGGGGGAAGTGCGCGAAGAAGGTGCGGGCCATGTCCTCGATCTGGGGGTAGGCCCCCAGGGCCTGGAAGTGCTGCACGTAGTTCCAGAAGTCAGAGGTGGAGAAAGGCCAGTAGGGCATGGCCGGCAGCTCCGCGTAGGGGTCTGAAAGACACGTGACACCTGCCTCCGGGGGGGCTGTCCCCGTGGTCCTGCCTGGAGACACCGTCCTTGGAGGCCTCAAGGCAGGTGGATGGTGCCCAGCTGTGCCCACAATGATATAACCTTCCCAGAGTGGGGACCTGAGCCTGTCCCCTCTCATGAGTGGGGTGGTGACCTAGGTCCTTGGGGACGCCTGGTCTGGGAGATGGAGAAAGAGGAAGACGGGGGAAGGGTGGGTAGGGAGTGGGACACCGTCAGCAACCTGGTGGGATTTCAGAGGGAAGCACAGACATCTGCCTCTGCCTCCCCCAACACAGCCTGTCCTAGAGCTCAGCGAAAGGCGGCCCTGAAGTTACTGGACTGACTTAGGGCTCAAGGCTGGGAGGGGGCCTGGGGGCTGGAGCCCAGGATGAGGGTGGGGATGCCCGGCTCCCCTGCCCAGTGTGTTCCCAGGTGGCTGGAGGCCAGGGGCCCCACTGGAAGATCCTCTGCTTGTGCAGCTCCAGGCTGTCTCTCCAGGGCCATGTTTTCCAGCTCAGGCCTGAGTTGAGCCGGGGCTCTTGATGCACCTGCTTGGGGTAAGAAGCCGCTGCCCTCCCCAGCAGTCTCTCCCCGAGCAGGAGCATGAGCACACCAGTTACTTATGCAAATGAAAGGAAAGAAATTGGAGAAGTTACCTCCTTCCTCCTGCACAGGCTTGGTCCCTGAAAAGGAAGAGAAGAGCTGTCACCCAAGAGGACCCCCCCAGGTGCCGGCTGGGCCCACCCCAGCCCAGCTGCAAGGCTTGGGGGTTTGGCAGCAGCCTGGCAGGAGGGGAGAGAACTGGAAGGCTGTCTGGGGTGGGTCCAGGTGGCTGGGTCCCTCCAAAGAGGCCCCTCACCTGCAAGAGGCCCCAGCAGCAGGCAGAGTGCCAGCCCCGGCACCACGCAGGCCCGCATCTTCCCGGCGCTTCCTGTTCTGCGAGGCAGCAGGATTAATCCAGGAGGGGCGAGACCACCCAGCTTCTTCCACCAGCCCCGGTGCAGGCGGCCCTGGGAAAATGGCATGGATAAAAAAATAATCTTACTGTTTTCCTAGCAATTTCAGTTTCCGTGGTTTGGAGAAGAAACCCCAAATCCCACTATTTGGAGATGAAATCCCTGCCTCAGTTGGCCTTAATTTCCACGACTTAAGAAATTGCACCCCCACCCTCCACCCTGCCTGGCCTCTGCTGAGCTTACCCAGTCTCTGTCCGCTTAGTGGCCGTGCTGCCTGGATGGGCTCTGCTGCCAGCTCAGGGGTCCTCTTTATAGAAGGGCTGGGGATGAGGAAGGACACGTCACCTGCCAGAACAGTCACACGGAGTATTTCATCCCCAGTGGAGAACTGTGGGCCTCTGCCACCCTGCTGGCAGGCAGATCAGAGTGCCAGCTTCTGGGAATCTGATCCAAAGATCAAATCGAGAGAAAAACATCTTGGCTAGGCCATTTCTAAAATTGTTAGGACTGAATTCAGCATTGGCACTTGAAACAAAGCCAGCTTCCTCTCCACGAGACAACCTACATCCAACGTCAGGGCTGGCTGAGGTTTCCTCCCTCGTGAGGAGCTGAATAATTCCAGCACTGCCTCCACTTAGACCTGCAGGCAGGAAGAGCCCCAGGTCAGGGGGACCTGCCTGCAGGACGTCCGTTGTGCAGAGCCTGGGGTCAGGATGGATTTCCGACTCCAGGCGGGAGCTTCCCTGTGATCCAAAGCATCAGCCTATAGGTGGGCAGGAGGCCGTCCCCACCCCGGGATACCAGTAACTGGCACCAGGGGTCTCTGCAGGTCAGGCCACTCTGACCACATGGGTCATGGTGCTCACCTGTCTCTCCGTAAGTGCAGACGCCTCCTGGTCCTACCCTGTGGGGTCCCACCACCCCACTGAATTCAGGGGTCAAATTTGGAGTGTCAGTTTCCTCTGTCATTCCTGGTCACCCTGGGGGCTCGTTAAGGACTAGGGAAGCTCCTCCCCCATGTGTCCCTCGGTTCTGGAGTTCAGGGTCCCCAGTGTCATCACATTCTGCCCACATGTCCCGCAAATGATTAAGGACTCATTTTCTTCCCAAACAATGGCATACATTTAACCAAAGATACCCAGAGAGGTGGTTAACTTAATTCAGACTGTAAGGCAGCCGCCCACAGATTCAACTTCGGGCTTCATTGTCAGGAACGTGGAGCCTGCGGCTGCAGGAGGTAATGGATTCTTTCAGGGCAGTTACACTGGGGAGGGTTCACGATGCCCTAGGAGGACTCGGGCTCAGCATCCTGTTCCTCAGAGCCCATGGGAATGGTCCTCAGACGGTAAGAATTGCCCAGGAATCCTGTTAAAGTGCAGCTTTCATTCCACGGGGGGGCCTGGGACTCTGCATCCCTAACCAGCTCCCGAGAGCTGCGATGCTGCTGGTCCCCGAGCACAGGTTGGGCAGAGAGGCAGGGGCAGTGGTCTCAGTCTGAGGGGGTTAGAATCCCCTGGGGGCCTGGCCTCAGAGTCCCTGGAGGGCTTGATAAGATGCGGGTCTCTGTTTGGCCCCCCTCCCACTCAGAGTTCTGATTCGGGGCCTGGGAATCTGCATTTCTAACACGTCTCTAGGCAGTGGCTCTTAACCCTGGCGCCACATTGGGGCCAGCTGGGAGTTTCTGAAGAGTCGGGATTTCCAGCCTCCTCAGGTGAGATTCTGAGTCAGTGGGTCCAGGTCTCGGCGGTTTTGAAATCTCTCCCGGTGACTCTGCAGAGTCCCTGCTCCCCAACCCCAGCCCCTGCCCCGCACAGCCCCAGCCATCGTGGATGCATCGGGGGCCTCTGGAACTCTCGTCTGTGTGGGGTGAGACTGTGCTTACACACACAGATGGTCTTGGTGGGTCCCAAGCCAACCAGGCAGAGCCGGGCTGCCGGCGCCCCGGCGGTGCAGCGATCAGGCGGTCTCTGGTGCCCTCTGCTGTCCATTTTGGGAACACCGAGCCTGGGCTGGGCGCGGATGTCACGGAGCCAGGGGTGCCCAGGCCTGTGCCCAGCACGCCTCTGTTTCCTGGAGGAACAGAGCATGCACAGACACTTGTTCATGCTTTAGAGTCCTAAAGCCACAATCTCCCCGGACGTGGGCTGCGGAGGGCTGTGCCTCCTGCCTGCTGCCCCCTGTCCCCTGGTCTGGTCTTCACTGAGTGCCACAGGTGGCGCATTTATAGAGGACAGGGGTTTGTCCAGCTCACGCTTCTGGAAGCTGCAGAGTCCAAGACCAGGCAGCCACCTCGGGGACGGGGGCTTGTGCTGCTCCACAGCATGGCTGGGAGTCGAAGGGCCCTGGGCGAGGGCAAGTGGAGCTTCCTTTATAACAGCTCCCAGGACTGGGTCCTGACAGGACGCAGCAACCCCTCTTCACCCACAAATCCCTCCCGAAGGCCCCATCACGACACCGCCATGATGATAACCAGATTTTGACTAGTGTCTGCAGCAGACAGACCTGATTCAAAGCACCCTCCTCCCCTCAGCTGCCTGCGAGGCTTCCATGAGCTACTGCAAAGTCCACACTGCTCACGTGTCTGGCCTCAGAGCCTGGGCTCCGGCCTCGGACTCGCTCCCAGGTCCCCTCTCACCAGCCCACCATCTGGGCCCAGGAACGTGCCCCTGCTTCGGTGCTAGGGCCCTGCTCGCTGCCTGGAGCCTGCCATCCCCTCCAGAGCCCAGGACCCTCAGCCGGCCTCCTTGGCAGCCCAGCTCACCCCTGTGCCCCTGGCTTGTGTCCTTGGTTTCAGGAGGGGACACAGCCTTCTCAGCAGCCCACCCCACCCCCATCTCCCTGGCCCATGTCCTCCGTCCGAGGAGGGGACGCAGCCTCCTCAGCAGCCCACCCCACCCCCATCCCCCTGGCCCATGTCCTCGGTCCCAGGAGGGGACGAAGCCTCCTCGAAGCCCAGCCCACCCCCGTGCCCCTGGCTTGTGTCCTCCGTGTCCTCGGTCTCTACAGCGGTCTTGGCCTCCTGCTGGCTGTGCCCCGCCTGCCTCCTCTCCAAGCCTGCGTTAGTGCCTGGTCTGGGTCCACCCAACCAGTCTGTGCCAGAGCCCTCTGTGCCCTGCAGGCTGGCCACCCCACTGTCCTTGCTGAGCCACAGGGAACGTGCCCTCCCCACCCCCACTTTGCCCACTCACTTCTCAGCTGCTGCCTTCTGCCCCCTCCACAAACCCGAGGACAGAGCCCAGGTACCCAAGGAGTGAGGGTGAGGGCGCCCTCCGACAGTGTCTTATGCCAGTTCCCACCCCGCCGGTGATGACTGTCCTCGTTATTTTAATAAAATAGCTAAATGTCTTGAATTCTAGTGAACTTAAAAAGAAAGAGCTTTTTTAGATTAAAACTAAGCTGGCTTGGAAAGGCCTACTCACAATGACAAGCACTAAAAACTGTCACATCAGCGGTGGGGATGCCAGCTTTAAAAGAGTGAAAACCCAGCCCGACTTGACTGGGGGTTGCAGATCACGGGGTGTTGGAAGGGTCTTCTCAGGAAACAAAACTGGGGATGGTGGGGGATTTCGGAGGCGCGCTCTGGGGGCGCTGTTCTCAGCGGATTCTGCGCAGTCGGGCCTCCTGGGGTACCACACGTGCCAGGAGATGGTCCGAGCAGAGCTGCCCCGCCGTGTCGCAAGACTGTCCTGTAAGGGTGACAGGTTTGAAAGCTAAATTATGTAAGGCCCCTTTGAGTCTTCTTTTAAAGAAAGATACAATTCCTTCCTTTAACCGACCTGGAATTTCTGACCAGGCCCCAGTACAGACCATGAGAGGCTTCTCCTCAAACGGGGGATCCTGACCTGGGTTCCAGTGGGGGTGGGGCTGTGGGGACCCCTGGGGACCCTAGTTGTCCTGAAAAAATACAGGATGCCATGTTAGATGTAAATTTCAAAAAATGAATACTCTTTTTAGTATAAGTGTGTCCCAAATATTGCCAGGGACACACTTATACTGACAAGTATCCTTGTCTAACTGAAATTCCGATTTTACCTGTTTTTCTTTTTTTTGCGACATCTGGCAGCCCCGTGCAGGACAGAGCCTTGTGGCCCTGCCTGGCCACTGGCTCCATGCCCAGGTCCAGCTGGAAGCCAGGCTTTGAGCACAGGCTGCTGGGGAGAAGGGACTCCGGGCTCCGGACCATGAGGGCGGCCCCAGCTCTGGGGCAAGGCAGGCAGCTCCCCATGCCCACGAGGGTCTTTTCTGAGATGCTTCCTCCTGGAACTGGAGGGTCATGGTCATGACCCGAGGTGGGAAGATGGGCTGCAAGCCTGCACCTCCCTGTCAGCCGAGGCCCCTGGCCCAGGACACCCAGGGACTCACGGCTGTCTGGAGCCGGCCTGAGCTGGGCTTGTCACAGAGGGAAGTGGACAGAGCCAAAGAGGGGGGCAGGCTGCACCTCTCAGAGCCTCCCTCTTTCTGGCTTGGGGCCAGGGATGGGGGCATAGGGCAGGGGAGCCCCAGAGGCCCATGACTCGGGGGCAGAGGCACCGACTGTCTACCTGCTGTGACAGGGGTCTGCATCCTGCGACACAGGACCTGAGGGCCTGCGCTTCTTGGTGGAAACAGCTCCAGAGAGGCCAGCCAGGGCCTCAGCGCCTTGGTGGTGAGGCAGGAATGATCCCCTAGGCACAGCGCTGGGCTGGGGTGGCCTGGCCTGGCTGCACTGGAGGAACGAGACCCGGGAAAGGGAGAGGCCCTCGGCCCCCACACCCTTGGAGCAACAGAAGGGGAGACGCTCCCGCTCCTCCTCCTCCTCTTTCCAGAGGACCCAGAGCCTCCAACGGCCACACCCGGCACGTGCCAGCATTCAGTCAGTGTTGTCTTAGCCTGAAGAACGTGTGTGTGTCCATATGCATGCGTGTGCACGTTCCTGTGTGGGGTGGTGTGTGTGTGCATGTGCGTATGCCTGTGTATTTGTGTTTGCATGTGTGGTGGTGTGTGGGTGTGGCATGTGCATGAGTCCATCCCTGTGTATTGTGTGTGTATGGGGCCCTGCACGTGTGTGCTGTGTGTGTGGGGGGGGTTGTGAGGGTGTGTGTGTCCATGTGCATATGTGTGTATGGCTGTGGGTGGTGTGCGAATGTGTGTGAATGTGTGTGCATGTGTGTGAAGTGTGTGGTGTGTGCTATGTGGTGGTGTGTGAATGTGTGTGCCTTGTGTGTGGTGTGTGCTGTGTGAGGGGGAGTTGTAAGGGTGTGTATGTGTGCATGCCTATGTGCTGTGTCCATGTGCATATGTGTGTAAGGGTGTGGGTGGTGTGTGAAGTGTGTGGTATGTGCTATGTGGTGGTGTGTGAATGTGTGTGCATGTGTGTGAATGTGTGTGCATGTGTGTGAAGTGTGTGGTGTGTGCTATGTGGTGGTGTGTGAATGTGTGTGCATGTGTGTGAAGTGTGTGGTGTGTGCTATGTGGTGGTGTGTGAATGTGTGTGCCTTGTGTGTGGTGTGTGAGGGGGAGTTGTAAGGGTGTGTATGTGTGCATGCCTATGTGCTGTGTCCATGTGCA